CGCTCTTGCTCCTTCGTCAAAACAGCTCTTTTCATGCCGTATAACAACACTGACCTAACAGAGGCAAGGTACAGACGGATTTTTGTGTGTAGAGTAAGTCCCTTCTTCATCCTAAACATTGGGCAAGTTTCCAAAAGCACTTGAGGCTAGGGCGATCCTCCTGTTTAACTTTGGCTGGATCATGTTACAGCTTATTGCAGAGTCAAGATGTAGGCCTCCTGAAGGGCATCGCTTTCCTGCTCCACTTGAAGGTCAGCTGTGCTGGATGGGTTTCTCATGACGTCTGACTTTCGATCGTTAAGGAATAGGCTTGGCTTTCGCAGCGAAAGCATACGAAATCCGTCCTGTGATAGAACCCTGTTTCTGCATTGCTCGCTAGGACAATACTATCTGCATGCTCAAGGCCAGCAAGATATCTATCCTGAACTGCGCCTTCCCTCTAGAATGAGACCTTCGTCTTTGCCAGGGTAAAAGCTCTTATGAGGATGGAAGTTGTGAACACTGTAGAATAACAGAGGCGAAAACGCATCTCCGAGGCAAATTTTACAGTTATTAGTGGGCCAGTCAGGTGGTTCTCCTTCATCTTTTACAGCAGACAGTTCCTGCATACATATCTTCCAAAATAGAAGCGATGTATTCAGGTAACCCACAGCATTTCAAGATTTTTCGCATCGTTGGACTATGTGGTGAATTAAATGCGGCCTTAGAGTCGAGGAATTGGAAAAACGTTTCCACTTCCCGACTGGACACTAAAAGTTGCATTAAAATAACTCTCTACCTCCTTTTTGTAACCCGACCATACCGCTTCATAATACATGTTGGCATCGTGCACCTGATGTGTTTCAACCATCAGTCGTCGATGCGGCACTGCTTAGTTTAGACGAAGTCACCCGTACGACTATATGGTGACCCGACCCACTGCAGGCACTACTCCTAACGCGACTCTTGAGTGTTGAGCTGCGCCACTGGCGGTCTATGATAACGTGGTATAGCTGAGTGTTTAGGCATCAATCACCTGACGTCCAGGTGTTTTGGTGAAGCCGCTTATGAAGAAAAGTTCCTGCCGACGACTAAGTTGTTTGTGGCAGAAAGGCTTAACAGACTCCAGACTCCTATCATTCACACGGTCAGTACCATCTCGGCAGAGTACTCCTAGCCATTTACTATACTCATCGCCTACCTTTGCGTTGAGGTCGCCTGCTACAGCTGTGACACCGCGACGCGGCAAACTGCCGGCAGCCGACTGCAACCAGTCTTAGAAAGCGTCTCTGTCGCGTTCACTCAATACATTTATCGTTACATAGGTGAAAGTGACACTCAGCGTCGCCTATTTGATATTCACCAGAGATACCAAGATTCTGTCCGATACCTGTTCCACCAAAATGACCGCCCGGCCTACTCCAGGGTACAAGATAATAGCCGTATCGGCGCAGCGTAACCTACTGTGACGACCACTGAAGTGACCACTCATCTTGCAGGTCAAGCGCCCCTTGCCCGGAGGGCGAGCTTCCGTGATCACCAGTACGTCGAGTTTGTACCGACGGTTCGTACTTCAGATATCACCTAATTTTCCTTCGCCAGACAAGAGAAACAAAATTTTCGCGTTTCGAAATGTATGAACTTACCTCTTGTGGTGTTGACTGCTCGAATCGCGAATTTCTCGGATCCTAGTTGAATGGTGTAAGTGCGGGAGCCGCTTGCTGCGCAACCAATTTCCGCATGAGCAATAAATTTGCCGCCTCTTACCAAAAAAATAAACCTAACAACAGGGTCTCTTACTTCTTAGACTTATTAAAGTTCTCTGAAAAATAGGTTCAGATGTTTAAAGTTAGTCTTAAAAATATATATTAGGTGAAGTTGTCGGAATCTACAACCATGTTCCTTCTTCAGCAGAAATTACTAACC